CGGATAAAACTACCGCTCTTCATTGCGCTGCAACTGGTGCTTCTGTGGATTCCCTAGATGTTGTCAAGTTACTTTTGAGCTCTGGGGCAGATCCTAATATTCCCGATGCTCACGGGAATCGCCCTGTTGATGTCCTTGCTGTGTCTCGGCTTGTTTCCAATTCGAAAACTATCCTTCAAGAGATCTTAAAGAAAGATGAGCCTATATCCGAGGATCTGCATGCTTCATCATCTAGCTTGGGTTCCAGTTTCCGATCTCTATCATCATCACCAGATAATGATTCCTCCTTACTTTCTTCGGATTCAGTATCCTCTCCGACCAAGCCAAATGGTGCTGATGGGCCATTTGTGTCAGAGAAGAAAGAGTACCCGATTGATCCATCCTTACCCGACATCAAAAGTGGGATTTATTCTACAGATGAGTTTCGGATGTTCTCATTCAAGATACGCCCGTGTTCTCGGGCTTATTCCCATGACTGGACCGAGTGTCCATTTGCACACCCAGGTGAAAATGCTAGGAGAAGAGACCCAAGAAAGTTCCACTATACCTGTGTTCCGTGCCCGGATTTTAAGAAGGGTACCTGTAAGAGAGGCGACTTGTGTGAATATGCTCACGGGGTCTTCGAGTGTTGGCTGCATCCTGCACAATACCGGACAAGGCTGTGTAAGGACGGGATGAGTTGCAACAGGCGGGTTTGCTTCTTTGCTCATACAAACGAGGAACTGCGCCCTTTATATGCTTCTACAGGATCTGGTTTGCCATCTCCGAGGTCTTCTTCTGTTTGCGCCTCTACCATGGACATGGCCACTGTATTGAACATGTTGCCCGGCTCACCATCTGCTGCTCAACATTCATTTACCCCGACCATGTCTCCCTCTGGAAATGGCATGGCACATCCACCGATGGGTTGGCCTCAGCAAAACATTCCGGCATTGCATCTTCCCGGAAGCAATCTCCAACTGAGCCGGTTGAGGTCCTCTCTGAATGCTAGAGATATTCCAGCCGAGGAGCTTAGCATGCTGCAAGATTTTGAAATTCAACGTCAGAGGCAGCAGCTAGTTGGTGATATGTCCAGTCCACGCTTTATGAATCATTCTGGTCGTGTGAAGAGTCCGGCCCCTTCAAATCTTGATGAACTTTACTCACCTGAGGTTTCATCCCCTCGTTTTTCTGACCAACTCGCTGTCTCATCTATTCTTTCTCCTTCGCACAAATCCGCACTTCTCAAGCAGAGCATGCTGGCTCCGGTCAAGACAAATCTCATGTCTCCGAAGAATGTTGAACACCCTCTGCTGCAGTCCTCATTTGGTGGATCCTCGCTGGGAAAGATGTCCCCTCGAGCTGTGGAGCCTATATCCCCGATGAACTCCCGCCTTGCAAGTCTTTCCCAACAGCAGCTACATTCGCGTAGCCTCAGCTCCCGTGATCTTGGGTCCGCTGATGTTGGTTCACCGCTAAGTCCGTGGTCAAGATGGGACCAGTCCAAAGGCAGTAGTAAGGTGGATTGGTCGGTTCAATCGGATGAACTGGGTCGTTTGCGAAAGTCACATTCTTTGGCTAACCCGAGTGATGAGACTGACGTTTCATGGGTTCAACCTTTGCTAAAGGAATCAGCATCAAGGTTCAACCCTGCAGCAGCAGGGCAAGCGAGACAGGAGGGTTGGAGTCTAAACCCTCAAAACGATGCTCGGGAGAGCGATATCCTCGACGCATGGCTTGAGCAGTTGCAGCTGGACCGAATGGTCGCTTAGTTCATTCATTCACTCACACACAGACACCCCTTTCAAAAGATGATTGATTCGTTTATTTATTATTATTCAAGAAGCACACAAAAACAAAACCAGGTAAGCTTTTGGTTTCCGCTCTTCATTTGTTTCGGATTACAGAGCTCGGGAGATCTAATAACAACTCATAAAGGGCCCAAGTTTCTCTTTTATTCAGATCTCTTGTTGAAAATTTCTTCCTTCGTTTTTTCCCCTTCATTCCTCATTGTTTTTTCCCGAATTCCTCAATTATTATTATGGTTTATACTAATATTGTGATCCGTCTCGTCTTTCACTTGTTATTAGTATTCATTCACTTGTGATGAATTTGTCATAAAGAACATTGTACGAGGAACAACTAATACTTTCAATAAGATTCAGTTATCATTCTTCCGTTTACTTGCAAAAACATCTTGAACCTTGACAAAGATCTTGCAAAGTTGACAAAATTAGTGCTGCTTTTGTAAGAGTTATGGATTTCCCTTGAATTTGGCATGGATGTCTGTTTGTACTGGAACCTAATGCTTCTGTATGCTTGTATGTAATAGGGAGAGGTCATTGGTGAGATTTTATTTTCTGTTCAGATTTTCTTTTTTTTCAATTCGTTCGGTTAATGTAATTCTGGAAAATTGATTTTTTTAAGATTAGATTTGATTTTATATTAACACAAATATCATTTATTCAACCGTATATTTAAGTTAATATACCACTTAACTAGGCGTTTACGTTGTAGTCAACCATTCATTAAACTTAATTTACTGCTTCAAAGGCGTTTACACTATTAACTCTGTTTCATTTCAAATGTAACGCGTAACATCGGTTATAAACTTGGAATTTTAGCCCTATAAATTTCATGTTTATTCAACCATTGATACCATCCCAAAACTAATAGTTTCCTTACAAACTATCTCATTACAGGAGAACAAAACTCGAGTAAGAGAGCCACTTACCTTCGCTTGTATTGTTTAGAGATGGAAAACAGATCTCGAGTTCTCTTTTCTTTAGTGTTGGTCGTAACTTTATGCATCGCTGATTTGGTAAGGCCAAGTCTAGCCGAGATGCAGCAGCCGCAACAACTTCCGGATCTTTCCAGAGTCTTACCTATTGATATCACGAAATGTTGGTCATCCCTCATTAATATTCCAGGATGTTTGATAGAAATCACAACAACGATTCTCACGGGACATTTTGGACATATCGGTCCGATGTGTTGCAAGGAGTTTTCGGCTATAGAAGATAATTGTTTGCCAAAGATGTTTCCTATGATTCCCTTCTTTCCTGATCTTCTCAAAAACAGCTGTTCGGGGAATGTCGCGGCTCCTCCTACAAACAAGTGAAGCAACGCCGAAGTTACGTATGATGCAGTCTAGTTGTTGCCCTTTATTTGTTCTAATGTGTTTTGGTGGTTTTAGATTATTATTTGCAATTTAATAAAATTAAAGTAACGGAAATCTTGGAAATTTATTTTGGGTTTATCGAACTTTTCTTTATAAACCATCCCTAGTCAAAACATTGTTCGCATATGATTTATCGGAATATAATTCTAATTTAGTCTTGTTAGTGCATGTGTTTGCACGTATCTTGGGTTTAGTGCATGTGTTTGCACGTATCTTGGGTTGTTGAAAGTTTGTTGCAGGTCCAACAACTTTTGAGAGATTTCAGGAGAAAGATTCGGCGAGATCAAGCTCGAAGATATCTGAGATGCAACTGACAAGATTCAGATGAAGTCAAAGCTGAAGAGATAGAGTTAAGCTGAAGAGATAAAGATGAGATCTTGAAGATAGACACGAAACCAACAAGAATCAAGGAGAAGTCTATCAAATCAATTCGTGGAGATCTGAGGCTAAGGGAGGAGCCTATATAAGGAAGACACAAGTTGCAGATCGATGGAGAGAGAAGGAGCATAATTTCTAAGTCTATTTTGTTAAGTGAGTGTGTTCTCATTATCTGGTGAGTGCGAGTCTGAGAGGGAGACCGATTGGGCAAATCTCTTCTCTCTGGTGAGTGATTTATGTGGTGAGGTTTTTTGATCAGTAGAATTCATTGTGAGAGGGGAAGAAACTCAGGGGGAGTTTCGGGTGTGTGTAGTAAGTACGATTCTTACAACAAAAAGTGAGTTGTACTTGACTATCTTTCTCAAGTGAATAGAACTGATTAGTTTTCCGCATTACTCTTTGAGGGTTCAACTTTTTCAATTGGTATCAGAGCTGGTCACTGATCGTAGGCGAAAGAGCCTCTCATATCAGTGTACGTGTTGAAGAGTCAATATGGACTCACTCAAAGAGTTTCAGTCTCTGGGAAGATCCACAATTCTCGATTCCGAGAATTATAGTTTTTGGAAAGTGAAAACTATGAATCTCATCAAAGAGATTATGTCGACAACATACTGACATCTCCTGTCATATGACGTGAGCATCCACTGTCAAAATACCACCGTTGTTCACTTGACTTCAGTTCAGAAGTGTATGCCACATTACACCTCGAGATATCTTTTCTTCTCCATACTTGCCTCCATCTCAGGGTGGGTGGTACCTGATAATTTTGCCAGTAGTAGCAATTCATTCTGATGCTCACGAGTTAGAACTGGAACTATATGAAAAGCCAAGAGGAGTGACTCCAAACAAGGGTCTGACACTTCATGTTCCAGAATCATCTGAGGCTCCCAGCCAAGTGTCACTGGAGGAAGACATGGCGATGATTGTGAAAAAATTCAACCGGTTTTTTAAGAAAAAACCGGGTCTCACTGGCAAAGCAGAATCAAGACATTCTGGAAAATGTCTGGAATGCCAGGGAGCAGGTCACTGGAAGGCTGAATGTCCTAGCATTGCCAAGAGAGAGGCAATGTTAAAAAATCTGAAGGATATTCAATGTTATGAGTGCAAAGGATATGGACACACAAAGAACGAGTGTGCACTTGGAAAAACAAGAGGTAAATCTCTGATTACTCATGAAGAGATTGAAACCGAGTCTGATGAAGAAAGTGGAGAAGAGATGTCAAATTTTGTGGCATTCATTGGGATCATTGAAGAGACTGAAGAAGAGATATCCGAAGAAGATTTGTACAAGGATATGACAAGGTTGTATGACATCAATACAAGATTGATCAAAGAACAGAAGGAGAATGAGGCAAAGATTCTGGAAATCAAGAAACAGTTGGATACAAAAGTGTCAGAAGTTGATCATTTGAAGAAGCAACTACAGGAGAAAGAGGAGAAGATTCTCGTTTTACAGAATCAACTGGAAGGTACCATGAAGAATGTGAGAATGCTTGGAAATGGCACCGCAAAATTGGATCATTTATTGACAATTGGGCGAACAGATTCTGGACATACTGGGCTTGGATATATCGGAGGAAGTAAAAACAAAGTAGGGAACTTTGTTTCAGGAGGAAAACTTGGAGATGAAGTGATCTCACAAGTACAACAGACTCCAAAGATCAAGATTGATCTGTATCCAAGACAAAGATCACAAAACTATCGTGAACATCGCACTTGTTTCTACTGTGGAAAAAGAGGTCACATCAGAATGAATTGCTACTACTGGCAAAATTATCAGGTACCACCCACCCTGAGATGGAGGCAAGTATGGAGAAGAAAAGATATCTCGAGGTGTAATGTGGCATACACTTCTGAACTGACTGTCAAAATACCACCGTTGTTCACTTGACTTCAGTTCAGAAGTGTATGCCACATTACACCTCGAGATATCTTTTCTTCTCCATACTTGCCTCCATCTCAGGGTGGGTGGTACCTGATAATTTTGCCAGTAGTAGCAATTCATCCTGATGTGACCTCTTTTTCCACAGTAGAAACAAGTGCGAAGTTCACGATAGTTTTGTGATCTTTGTCTTGGATACAGATCAATCTTGATCTTTGGAGTCTGTTGTACTTGTGAGATCACTTCATCTCCAAGTTTTCCTCCTGAAACAAAGTTCCCTACTTTGTTTTCACTTCCTCCGATATATCCAAGCCCAGTATGTCCAGAATCTGTTCGCCCAATTGTCAATAAATGATCCAATTTTGCGGTGCCATTTCCAAGCATTCTCACATTCTTCATGGTACCTTCCAGTTGATTCTGTAAAACGAGAATCTTCTCCTCTTTCTCCTGTAGTTGCTTCTTCAAATGATCAACTTCTGACACTTTTGTATCCAACTGTTTCTTGATTTCCAGAATCTTTGCCTCATTCTCCTTCTGTTCTTTGATCAATCTTGTATTGATGTCATACAACCTTGTCATATCCTTGTACAAATCTTCTTCGGATATCTCTTCTTCAGTCTCTTCAATGATCCCAATGAATGCCACAAAATTTGACATCTCTTCTCCACTTTCTTCATCAGAATCGGTTTCAATCTCTTCATGA